AAGGTATTCAGTCCCCAGTGGCGCAATTGGTTAGCGCGCGGTACTTATAGAACAGTTCCGCGAGCAATTGCCGGGGTTGTGAGTTCGAGCCTCACCTGGGGAATTGTTATTTTACATAAAAGTTTGATGTGAGACTTATGTAATTGTATTGGATAAAATATCTTTAGAAAATTAATTAACAAGTTGGTATTCAGTCCCCAGTGGCGCAATTGGTTAGCGCACGGTACTTATAGACAGTTCCCGCGAGCAATGCCGGGTTGTGAGTTCGAGCCTCACCTGGGAATTGTTATTTTACATAAAAGTTTGATGTAAGACTTATGTAAGTGTATTGAATTATTTTTTTAGAAAATTAATTAACACTTGGTATTCAGTCCCAGTGGCGCAATTGGTTAGCGCACGGTACTTATAGGACAGTTCCGCGAGCAATGCCGGGGTTGTGAGTTCGAGCCTCACCTGGAGAATTGTTCTTTTACATAAAAGTTTGATGTAAGACTTATGTAATTGTATTGGATAAAATATCTTTAGCAAATTAATTAACAAGTTGGTATTCAGTCCCCAGTGGCACAATTGGTTAGCGCGCGGTACTTATAGGACAGTTCCGCGAGCAATGCCGGGTTTGTGAGTTCGAGCCTCACCTGGGGAATTGTTATTTTACATAAAAGTTTGATGTAAGACGTATTGAATAATTTTTTTTTTTTAAATAATTAACAACTTGGTATTCAGTCCCTAGTGGCGCAATTGGTTAGCGCACGGTACTTATAGGACAGTTCCGCGAGCAATGCCGGGGTTGTGAGTTCGAGCCTCACCTGGCGAATTGTTATTTTACATAATAGTTTGATGTGAGACTTATGTAATTGTATTGGATAAAATATCTTTAGAAAATTAATTAAGAAAAGGTATTCAGTCCCCAGTGGCGCAATTGGTTAGCGCACGTTACTTATAGGGCAGTTCTGCGAGCAATGCCGGGGTTGTGAGTTCGAGCCTCACCTGGGGTATTGTTATTTTACATAAAAGTTTGATGTGAAACTTGTGTAATTGTATTGGATAAAATAGCTTTAGAAAATTAATTAACAAGTTGGTATTCAGTCCCTAGTGGCGCAATTGGTTAGCGCACGGTACTTATAGGACAGTTCTGCGAGCAATGCCGGGGTTGTGAGTTCGAGCCTCACCTGGGGAATTGTTATTTTACATAAAAGTTTGATGTAAGACTTATGTAATTGTATTGGATAAAATATCTTTAGCAAATTAATTAACAAGTTGGTATTCAGTCCCCAGTGGCACAATTGGTTAGCGCGCGGTGCTTATAGGACAGTTCCGCGAGCAATGCCGGGTTTGTGAGTTCGAGCCTCACCTGGGGAATTGTTATTTTACATAAAACTTCGATGTAAGACTTATGTAATTGTATTGGATAAAATATCTTTAGAAAATTAATTAACAAGTTGGTATTCAGTCCCCAGTGGCGCAATTGGTTAGCGCACGTTACTGATAGGACAGTTCCGCAAGCAATGCCGTGCTGTGAGTTCGAGCCTCACCTGGGGAATTGTTATTTTACATAAAAGTTTGATGTAAGACTTATGTAATTGTATTGGATAAAATATCTTTAGAAAATTAATGAACCAGTTGGTATTCGGTCCCCAGTGGCGCAATTGGTTAGCGCACGGTACTTATAGGACCGTTCTGCGAGCATTGCCGGGGTTGTGAGTTCGAGCCTCACCTGGGGAAGCGTTATTGTATAAAATTTCTTGAAAAGGTTAATTCGCAACTTGGTCTTCAGTCCCCAGAGTACTTATAGGACGGTTCCGCGAACAATGCCGGGGTTGTGAATTCAAACCCTCAGCAGGGAAAGCGTTATTGTATAAAATTTCTTGAGGAGATTATATTTGCATCTAGTTCGTCAGTTCCCAGTGATGCAGTTGGTTAGCGCACGGTACTTATTTGACAGTTCGAGTTCGAGCCTCATGTGGGGAATTGTTGTTCTTTTACATAAAATTTTGATTGTACACTTATGTAATTGTATTGAATGAAATTTCTTGAGAAAATTAATTTACAGCGTGGTCTTCAGTCCCCAGTAGCGCAATTGGTTAGCGCACGGTAGTTATAGGACAGTTACGCAAGCAATGCCGGGGATCTGTGTTCGAGCCTCACCTGAAAAGCGTTTTATTGTATAAAATTTCTTGAGTGAAGTAATTCACTCTGTAGGAATAAGTTATGAATATAAGAATATAAAATCCATTGGATGAAAATATAAACAATTTATTAATTACAACATTTTATGATAAATAAAAATGACCAATCATTGTTCTTCCACGATATCTAGCCTGCTTGATTATCCACACACTCCCTGCCCAGTACTGACCTCACAGTATAAAAAATTCAGGGGAACACGTAATAAAAATATTGTGGGAAAGCAGATTATAGCAGTGTTATGGTACTGGTTACAATTATTATTCATCTAATGGAATAAATGACAGTATCGTCGGCAGATCCACCGTATGGTAGGTAATTCGACCTTCCATCAGCTTCGTACTCTGCTTATGTTCTGAATAAAAATAATGTGGTGAATTTCCTGAACCTCGATGTATTGGTAAACTTCGAAGATTCAGCCTCGATCTACTGTATTATTTTTATTTCAACAATATTTTGGATAAACAGATGGCGCTCTGTGAGAATATGAATTTTTGTAATGATTAAAATAATCTTGTCGACTTCTGTAACCTTTTGGATCATACATCGGATTCTCAAATCGGATGCGAAGTCCATTTTTAATAATTCAAAAAATATTTTACTTGTATTGATAAAATGAAGAACTGATAAAATTTTGGGAAGACAGGTGCTATTTTATAATTTTTGTTCAAAGCACAAAATTTACATATATATATATATATATATATATATATATATAACATACATACGCTTGTTGATTTTTTTCTACGATTTCGGGAACACGAATCAACCGATTTGAATAATTCAAAAAGCATTTGTTTTTGGCGATGACAGGTCTAGCCGTTCCAAAGGTACAAGGCGAAAAGTGCCAAAAATGGCCACTAAGTTTTTAAGAGAACGGGCGTCCGATTTTAATAATTAAAAAAACATTTTAGTTGTATTGACAAGATGGAGAAGTGATAAAATTTTGGAAAGACAGATCCAGCGGATGTGAACTCTCAATAGAAATAAGTTAAAATAATGTCATTTGGCGGTCAAAAATGTTTATTGCACTTATGCACATCAAATTATCAGGTATTTTATAGAGATTTTCATAATGTGTACGCTATTTGGTGTTTTTTTTGGGTTCCGTACCAAGATTTTAATTACGGTACGAGAAGTTCCAGCAATTTGCTTTAAGGCAAAATGCCATGCACCCCACTAGTTTTTTTTAATGAAATAAAATGCAATGAAAAAGTTTTTTCAAAAAAGAATTATTTTATTTAATATATATTTATTTTAATTTAATAGTTATTAAATGTCGTGCTTTATAACTTGTTATAGTAATTTTTGCATTATATATTTTCCGTGTTTTCTGTTTTTTCTTCCAATTATTTGTATGCACTGAAGATGGGTCAAATCAGGATCCGAAACGTTTGACTATAAAACATTTTACTTCAATAAATAGTTTAAATTATTGGATGGACGCCCAATTTATTATAATATTTCACCATCTGAAAAAAGCCCTCAATTTATAAATATATATGTTAATATATTTATATTATTTTTATATAATATTATTATTATATATATATATATATATATATATATATATCAATATGTATATATATATATATATATATATATATATACATTTATCAATTTATTGACTTTAAATCTTAATGATCAATAACGTGTTCCTTTCAATAAATCTCACCATCGTCTCAGGCAATCTACCTGAGATTGTGTGTGTACCCTTATCAGCGTTTGTTATTACAAATCATCACAATATTTCAAATGTTTTATGGCTTAATAAAACAATCATTCTTTGCGTGTGTAAACGTAATCTTTTGTGCGCACACTCCTCTGCTGCTGAATTTCATTCGTGAAAAATTTTAGCGACGGAAAAAGTTATTTTCTTATTGCTCACATTGTGTATGCAAACAGTTATCTTTTCCGCGATAAAAATAACTTCTCATTTTGTCCTAGTGGGGGTGTAATATTTATAATTATATATAAATTTCACTTGAAACATGTCACATAAATTGCATAATTATCTTGGAGCAACAGGTGAGTAGGCTCGATTTGATGACAAGTTTTGTATTTGAATTTAGATACATAATTCTTAAACAAAAACTGAAAAAATTTAAATTAAGTTGTTTTGTTATTTTTATTTTATGCTAATGTGTTTATGTAGGTTTATACAATATATAATATATGTAGGTTTATATAATATATAATATATGTAGGTTTATATAATATATAGAAACAGCCTATAGACTTAATGTAAAAAAATGTTTTCCATAGTCAATTGCTTATTAGAGCAATTACTACAATTACTTAGTACTACTTGTTTTTTTTCTTTTGATTCTTTTTATTTTTTCTTTATTTGTTTTCTTTATTTTTTATCTATTTTTATTTATTTATTTATTATTATTATTATTTTTTTTATTTATTTCTGTGATTATTATTATTATTATTATGTGTAAGTTTGCCATATAACTCATAGGGTATGTAAATAACTGTGATTGTTGTATAATATGAAAATAAATTAAAAAAATATATATAATATATAATATATGTAGGTTTATATATTATATAATATATAAAAAATATTATTATTAATTAGTATTGATTCATAGTATTATTAATTAGTATTAATTAATAGTAATGTTAATTAGTATTAATTAATAGTATTATTAATTAGTAATAATTAATAGTATTATTAATTAGTAATAATTAATAGTATTATTAATTAGTATTAATTAATACTAATATTAATTAGTATTAGTATAAATATGTATTTATTGCTATTTTATATTTTTTGTTCAAAGCAAAAATTTACATATATATAACATACATACGCTTGTTGATTTACACTAATAGGATATTTATAAAATAAAAAAATATAAAATATTAATAAAAAGCATAATATTCATTTAGCTTCCCGAAGGAGAAGCTTGTTTTCGCTAATAAATTCAATTTGCTAATTTTATGTGTACTCGACGTTTCAAGCCATTCTGAGTCGAATGAGACCAAATTTAGGAAAAGTATGTGTATGTGTATTTTTTGCACAGTTTTGTTGTCAATCAAAATAATATACATTTTTTAAGACAATATGATGTTGGTGGTATGTGTATATGAGCCGATTTTTGATCTTTCGTCGACGTTCTCCCGACAACGGCTGAATCGATTTCAAAACTTTAAAAGCCATGCGATGTAACTCAGTGGGAGAGCAGAGATTGATTAGTTTTTGTACGACAATCGGCCTAACCATTTTTTTAATTATCAGAAAAGTGTAAACATATTTTTCCACGTTTTAACCCACAATTTGAAAATTGAAATTTATTAGAAAGATATTAATTGATCCCAAGGGTACTTTCTTCGTAATTAGGATAAGTTATAGTAATGGGCCGAAAATCGAAAATATTTTTTTTGCATATTTACATGTTTCAGAGGTTTTTGAACATTTTGGCATATCTCAGAAAATAGGGATGTGTGTGTGTGTTTTGTGTTCGCATATTTTCGTCCACGTTTTCAGGCGCATGGATCAACCGATTTGAATGGATCAAACAGGTTCAAAAATCATTCCTCTGGATAGGGAGATGTGTTTATTAGTTTTTGGCAAAAGTAGGTCAAGCCATTTCAAAGATATAAGGCTAAATCTAGAAAAAATTGTAGTTTTTGAAAAAGCTAAGCATCCGATTTAAATTCAAAAAACATTCTTGTCGTTGAGACAAGACTACTTGTGTTAAGTCAATAACGTTTTAAAATTTAGTTAAAAACAAGCATTCTTCTAATATGCAAGTTTAATAAAATGGTTATATTTTCAATTATGAAAATATGACTTGGACAATCTTTTCTGAAAACTTATCAGCACGGCTAATCCCAAAACTCATATCTTTAATATGGTTTTTAAAATCTCAAAATCGATTTAAAATTTTGTGAAAATGTGGAGGTGAAATGTTGATGTTTCCTGCAAATTCTAAGAAAACGGCGCGGTCGATTGTTTTTCAAAACTAATCAGCGTGAGTTCTTATCAAGTTTGATCAAATAGCATTGCATTTTTTAAATTGGTTCATCAGTCGTTTTTGAGAAAATGTCGACAAATGCCAAATCACGTAAAAAAACACTGCAAATTCCAAACTTTGGTATTTCCCAAATTAAACCATCCGTGATATTATGGTAAATTGCAAATTGTCCAAAAATCGAAAATTATATTTTTTGCATATCTTTACGTTTCAACGGTTTCTGAACATTTTGGCATACCTTAGAAAAAAATTATGTGTGTGCATATGTGTATGTTGTATGCATGTATGGATGGGTACAATTTTCGTCGACTTTTTCGGGAGCACCGCTCAACCAATTATTCTCGAAGCATTCGATTCCCTTTGATAAGGAGAAGTGTTGACTCAGATACAGTGACACGGAGCAAAGAGTGCAAAAAATGAAAATTAAGTTTTTAAGAGAACAGAGCATCCGATTTGAATGATTCAAAAAACATTCAACTTGTCTTGGCGTAATGAAGAATTAATTTTTTTTTTGAAAAGGCAGGCCCAGCGGTTTAGGAAATCCAGATTTTGTTTTAAAAAAATGCCAGTTAGCGGTCGAAAATCAGATATTTTGTAATATAAATTAACAGATATTCAAGTGAAATCTAAAACAATCAGGAAAATTCATAGATTTCAAAGTTTAAAAAGTAATATCAAAAAATTTTAGTTTTCAAAACATTTCCAATTTTGCAAAAAAATTCTAAGTTTTCGAAAAAGATCAGTATTTTGAAAGAAGATTTTTTTCCAATGTTCATATTCTCAAAATTTCCAAAAATGTTCAAAACAAATAAAAAATCTAATTTTTCATTTCTTAGTTATTAAAAACTTTAAATTGAGGTACGGTAACTTTCAGCAATTTGCCTTAAGGCTCGATGCCATGCATCAACTGAAAATGGACATCACTACTTCACGATATCATGTTGTCCAGAGCGAGAATTCAAACTCACTATCCCGTTCACATAAGGCTGTGCGCTTTACCGTTACGCCATGAAATGCAACTTTTATAAATATACTATAATATTTCTAACTCTTGTCTTTAACAATATCTTATCAGTTTATTATTTTAATTTATATCTCTAGAATTTAATTCATAACAATCTTTGTAAACATGCATTTTATTATATAAATTTAGATAATGTATAGTTAACTAAATAAAATATATAATATATGATTTATAAAGTTTCTAAAAAATCTTATATTAATCTTTCAAGGGCGCTTTCATGAATTCAAATTGCACATGAAGTCACGGTGGAAATCCTTTCTAGAGAACATATATAAGTGTTCATCAAAAGAACTGAACACTAAAATTGCTGAAAATATTAATCCACATAAGAGGATGCGAGAGCCTGAAGATTATACGCACGTATTCAGGTAATAAATTTACATAAATCAATTAATATTATTATTGTTAGTTGCAATTATATACTTACCCACTAAACTATAGTTACGTACAGTTTCGTAATATCAGTGTAAGAAATATGAAATGTAGGGGAAAGTCCCCGAGTGACGGACACCTAAGGCTATTTATAAATAAATCAAAAAAATTTTACGAAATGTTTATTAAATTATGACTTATGTTAGATAACAAAGTTAGAAATCAACAAAAACTTAACCTATGCTAAAAATAATTAATACTATCAATCAAACTTTGGTAACAAAAATATGATTTTACAAAGTGGCACCTAGTACCGGACATTTCAAAATAACTAGCATTAAACACATATGTAGCCATCTACATACTCTTGAGTGTCTGCACATATGTGTTTGACAAATATTCTTAGATATTGCAAAAAAAAATCACTATTTATCCACCCTTTTGGCTGGGCCACACCGATGCTCTCAGCTGGAGCATTCATCATAAGATTTTCATTCTTTGACTAAAAAATACGAAAAATTAAATAATTAAAATTAAATTACGTCAATTCTCACAAGAAATATCAATATGTTTACTGTCCGGCGCTAAGGGACGACTTAGTGTCCAGTTCTAAGGGACAGATATGTACTTTCATTTGGCGGTGCCTACTAAAATTGTTTAAAATATTTAATAATATTTAATCATTTCACGGATAACAATCAAGTACTACTTTTATTATTGAATGCCATTCAAATATAAATGCATAAAAACAGTAGAATTATTTCAATTGATATTTAGATGACGCCGTGATTTTGCGCCTAAAACAGACGTGTATATACTTGGCACCGCGATGGTGGAAATTGGCAAAACTGATATGACCTGATTTTTTGACGATTTTTTTGCTGTCGATTGGTGCAAACTAAAATTTTTTTGCTCACTCCGTTCTCGAGATAAATGGGTGGGGCCAAATTCGGTGCTAACTATATATATAGTCAGCACCGACCCCTTTAAAAATGCAAAAAAATCAAAATTTCTTTTTACTATCGTTATCAGTGATTTTTTTGCTGTCGAATGATGCAATTAATTTTTGGAAAAGTTTTGTCCAGCTTAGATTTTCACGCATAGGAAAATTCCCATTTTTGCCAATTTAAAAAAATTGACAAATTTGAAAATGCCCAATTTTTTTGCTCGCTTACTTAAATATAAAACAAAAAAAAATTTTACAAAAACTTTATTTTTTCACCCCTTTTCAGAGGGGTTGCCAATTTTTTGGGGTGTCCACAGGTCACTTTTTCAAAAATTTAAAAATTGTTTCGGAATCTGTGATTTTTTTGCTCTGCGATACAAAAAAGAAAAATTAAAAAAAATAAGTTTTAATTTTGATTTTTTTCGTAGTATGAAAACGAATTGCAATCCGCTTTAAATATGCTTATTTTTTTCCAACAAAATCATCAACAATACCTTTACAAAAATATGTGCTCGACAGGAATTAATAGTTTCATACAATTTTTATATAAATTGTTAAAATGTAACAGGAATCGCGGTGCATATATATAGCCGTCTCACTCTCACAATGGCGTATAGCTTTCTCACTCGCTCATCTTCGAGAGACCCAGTGCGTAGAGACTCTCTACGCCGTAGAGTCTCTCGGCGGCGGGTGGCCAAAGACGCATTATTTATTTACTGAAATTACTGAAATTTTGTTGACTAATTGATTCATTAAGTCTGTTTTGGGGGTAAGTAAATAAATTGAAAAGCATCGTATACTACGTAGTACTTATGGACGCAAACTATTCGTTTTTATGCTACGAAAAAATCAAAATTAAAATTTTATTTTTTGAATTTTTCTTTTTTGTATCGCAGAGCAAAAAAATCACAGATTCCGAAACAATTTTTGAAAAAGTAACCTGTGGACACCCCAAAAAATTGGCAACCCTCTGAAAAGGGGTGAAAAAATAAATGTTTTGAAAAATTTTTTTTGTTCTTATATTAAGTAAGCAAGCAAAAAAATTGGGCATTTTCAAATTTGTCAATTTTTTTAATTGGCAAAAATGGGAATTTTCCTATGCGTGAAAATCTATGATGGGCAAAACTTTTCCAAAAATTAATTGCATCATTCGACAGCAAAAAAAATCTTTGATAACGATAGATAGTAAAAAGAAATTTTGATTTTTTTGCATTTTTAAAGGGGTCGGTGCTGACTATATATATAGTTAGCACCGAATTTGGCCCCAGCCATTTATCTCGAGAACGGAGAGAGCAAAAAAATTTTAGTTTGCACCAATCGACAGCAAAAAAATCGTCAAAAAATCAGGTCATATCAGTTTTGCCAATTTCCACCATCGCGGTGCCAAGTATATACACGTCTAAAACAGCAAAAGGTTGCTCCCGCCGTGGCCGTGTGCGTCACAGGTGAGTCTTGGCGGGTGATCCTGCACCTGTGTGCCCCCCGCGTCCCTTTCACTTGTATTTTGATATAAAAAGATTTATACTCGCTTAAATAATACGTGTTAAATATAGTGTCCGGTATTAGGTGCTGTCCGGCGTTACGGGACTTCCCCTGACACTACGTAACACTATATTATGTAATATTTACAAAATTATTGCATAAATCGCTTGAGGTGAAATAATTGGAAATGTTACAAAAATATCAAAATTTGTCATAGCTTAAGTAAAACCATAATTATTTCATTTTTATCATTTTCAAACACTTTTAATATGAGAGTAACTTTTAAAGGAACGGAGGATAAGAGGATTTTTTAAATTAGAGTAATTTTACCATTTTGTTATTTTCTATTGATTGACTATTCTTTTTAACTTTCTGTAGTAATAGTGAAAATGAAAATTTCTTCAAGTTTTGAATGTTTCTAAACATACCCCAGAAAAAAATGGATGTGTGTGTGTGTGATTCAAAAAACATTTAATTTCTATTGATAGGGAAAAGTGGTGATTAGTTTTTGGCAAAAACAGGTCCAACCATTTTGAAGATACAGAGCTAAATGTACAAAAATGGCAGTTTTTGAGAGAACTAAGCGTCCGATTTGAATGATTCAAAAAACTTTCTGCTTATGTTGACAAAACAAGTACTTTTGTAAAAAAAAAATTTTTTTATTTCTTTTTTTTTTGTATATCGAAAATGATCCATATTTTAATTTTAATTTTGGCTAATGTTCTTAAGCTCACTTATATACTTTAAATAAATAATTTTATCACTATATATATAATTTTATAAATATTAAACAATTTTACAATATTTATAATATTAAACATACTTTTTACCAATAATCTACTATATATGATTTTATTATGGAAAGCACTTAATCGAATTTATACTAATAAGATAATTGTTGTATATGTGAAATATAAAGTGTATAGATATATATAATAGTATATAAATTATTTGAAAGAAATATATAACTAGGTGTAAGTGGTATTTTGCTTTAAAGAATGTTGCATGAACTTTCCGATATGTATAAATAATAATTTTATTAGTCAATGCGAAAATTCAGGTTTAGCTACTTTTTACATTTAAATTTTGTAAATGAATAAATTTGAATATTTATAATTAAATAAAATAAGTATTAACTTCCCGAAGGAGAAGTATAATTTTTTGCTAATTGATAATTTTATGTTTTCTCGACGTTTTGGAGCATTCAGATTTGAATCAGATTAAATTTGGAAAAAGTATAGTAGTAAACGGCTGGACCGATTTGAAAATGTAAATACCAATCGATGTAACTCGATAAAACTAGCCTTTACCAGTTTTGTGCGATGATCAACCGAGCCGTTTCTTTGTAATTAGCAGAAAAGTGTTCACGTTTTAGTCCACAATTTTATTTGATTTTAAAAGTTAAAAAAAAACCTTCGAAAGATATTGATTGGAAATCGCGCTAAATAGTTTTTGGCAAAGATTGGACGGATCATTCATTTCTTTATATTAATTTTGTTTCTGGCAATTTTTATGAAACCTCATAAGCCTACGATAATGGTTGAATTATGAACAATCATCAAAGTTAAAATTTTGCTTAAGCGTTTCTAATAAGAAAATAAACCTACCAAACATACAATATATTCGGTGTTTTGTAGCTAGCTACTGATTACAGCTGACGTTCACAATTTAATAAAATACATTTATAAAACACGAAATAGATGAAATGAAATTTGATCATCCAAATGATTTAATTTATACAATTACGGATATTGTAAAGTATGTTTGAATAACATCAATTGGAAATCGTACCGTATATTTTTTTAATGAAAGCGAAAATTATATTTTCGAAATAACCGTTATACATTTTTCTAAATAGCTGAATCTCAATTTTATTGTTCAATTATTCAATTATCTTTATTATGTGTACGTATCGGAAATTTCATGCAACTGCCCTTAGGGCAAAATGCTACTTATACTAAATTCATTAATTAGATTGTAAAATTTAAAAAAAACGACATACAATTGTTAGCAATCTAATAATATGCAAATTATATTTACAATATATTTGATAAGTTTTGTCGATAAAGTCGAATGACGTATTTCACAAAAACAATAGCAATTGCTTTTATAAACACAATTACATTTGATTTGATTTCAATGTTAGCTATCTTGATAACAAATGGTTCTTAAAATTTGAAAAATATTCAAAACAAATGCTTTCTAAACATATTTATTCAGACTAGACCATCCTTATTTAATTATATATTATTATTCTTTGCATAATGCATTTTGTCATCTGAATTTATACATTTGAAGAGTTGAGATGATCAGTAAGACTTATAAATTGATTATTATTTGAATTATGTTTGTGAGTCATATCGAACTGTATAAGAATTACCAGATATACTAGCACTGCAGCAGTTACCTGAAATAAAACACATGCAATTAAGTTAATTGATGACTTAAAATAAATTTTAAATAACTAACACTTACATTGAATACAAGCGAGTTATTTAAGGAAAATAATTCCAGGCTGTAAATAATATCTTCTGATGAACTAGTTGTAATGAAAAAAGAGATACCTGA